TGCTGCTGCTGCTGCTGCTGCTGCTGCTGCTGCTGCTGCTGCTGCTGCTGGTCGAAATCGTCTCCGTCATCTGCTCTGCTGCTGCTGCCGCAGGAGAGGTAAGGCGCAGCCATGCTGCTGCTGGCTGTTACGTAGGTTATGCTGCTGTCGCTGCGCGGGCTGCTGCAGTTGCTGCTGCTGCTGCTGCTGCTGCTGCAGTGGCGCAGCGGGCTGCAGCAGCGCCCCACACACTGCAGCAGCGCGCTGCTGCAGCGCTGCTGCAGCAGCAGCGACGGCTGCAGCAGCAGCTGCGGGCGAACGCCCAAATCAAAGCGCTGGGGAAACCCCTGCAAGATGCAGGCCAGCCTGCAGCAAGATGCAGCAAACCCTAAACCCTAAACCCTAAACCCTAAACCCTAGGCGCCAAACTCTAAACCCTGGCCTCCAAATCACAAACCACACAACCTACAGGAAACCGCTGCAAAGTGTGTGAAGGCGGGAAGCAAAGAAAGAGCTAGGGTTTAGGGTTTAGGGTTTAGGGTTTAGGGTTTAGCTGCGCACATGTGGGCGAGATCTTCGGCGCTTGAAAACTGCAGCCATTTGGGCAATATCTGCGCAGAGCCCAGGCCAAAACCCTAAACCCTAAACCCTAAACCCTAAACCATAGACCCTGAATAAAACTGACAACACGAGACTTGCTGAAGCTGTGAGGGAGGTTTAGGGTTTAGGGTTTAGGGTTTAGCGCCTGTAGCTCCAGGGCTAGTCTGGCAGCGCCGCTGAAGTTCGAGAGCCGTTCTGCTGCCTGCGCCTCTAGGGTTTAGGGTTTAGGGTTTAGGGTTTAGGGTTTGCGTCACTTCTTGCAGCGCGGGAAAAGCTAAAGCAGCAGCAGCAAGGCCCGCGCCCCGCATGTCCTGCAGCTTCATGGGCAAGTCGCTGCTGCTGCTGCTGCGGTGGAAGCAAAGTCCCAAGTCAGCAGAAGCCACAACCCTGCGCCAAACCCTAAACCCTAAACCCTAAACCCTAAACCCTAAACCCTAAACCCTAATCCTGGGCCTGGGACTAGTCTTGCGGGCGGGCTGACCCGCACAAGCAGCGCAGTACAAGACGCTGCTGGGCCTTCTGTGCTGGGGTTTTGAGGGTTTAGGGTTTAGGGTTTAGGGTTTAGGGTTTGCCTGCAGTAGTCTTCTGGAGAAGCAAAGAGGCAGCAGATTTTGGTGTGCTGCAGCCGGGCCTCTTTTGCTGCTGCAATCCACTGCTGCTTGCTGCTGCCTCTCCCTGTGACGAGCAGCAGCAGCTCGGGAAGCTGCTGCTGCTGCCACTCGGCTGATGCCTCTCCTGCTGCCGCTGCTGCTGCTGCTGCTGCTGCTGCTGCGTCGTAAAGCTGCAGCCCCTGCAGCAGCAGCAGCAAATCTTCATCTGCAGTGTAGCTGGTGCTTGTCAGCAGCACAGCTGGCCGCTTCTTCCTGACTAAGACCTGCAGGTAGCAGCAGCAACTGCTGCTGCTGCTGCTGTTGCTGCTGCCGCTGCTGCTGTTGCTGCTGCTGCTGCTGCTGTTGCTGCTGCTGCTGCTGCTGCGGTCGCTGCTGCAGTCGCTGAGGCGCTGCGCGGCGCTGCTGCTGACGACTGTGCTCGCTTCGCTGCTGCAGCAGCTGCTGCTGCTGCTGCCAGGGCTGCTGCTGTTGCTGCTGCAGCGGCGGCTGCTGCCAGCTCCGCAGCTGTAAAGGATCTGCAGGCGCACAGCAGCAACACACACTGCATCTCTCTGCTGCTAATTCTGCTGCTGCTGCTGCTGCTGCTGCTGCCACTACTCTTGCTGCTGCTGCTGCTGCTGGAGGCTTTTCGCACCAATTCTGTGGTGGCTGTGAGCTCCCTATACACCTCAGCGCCCTTTTGTGGGTTCGTGTCCTCGTGCTGCTGCTGCTGCTGCTGCTGCTGCTGCTGCTGCTGCTGCTGTTGCTGCTGCTGCTGCTGCAGCCACGATTGCAGCGGCGGAGCGGCACAGCAAGTGGGCAGCAGCAGCTGCTGCGAAAGCTGCAGGTGCCCCTTCGGCTGCTGCTGCAGCAGCTGCTGCATCTCCCGTGGGTATTCCTGCAGCAGCAGAGCAAGCAGAGAGCCACTTGCTGCTGCTGCTGCTGCTGCTGCTGCTGCTGCTGCTGTGTCTGCATCTGCGTCGTAGACCTGCGTCAGCGGAGCAGCATCTGCTGCTTCTGCGGCTGCTTTTGCTGCTGGAGCAGCAGCCTCGTCTGGTGCAGCAGCAGCAGCAGCAGCAGCTGCTGCTGCTGCGGGAAAGTAGGTAGCAGCAACGAGGTGCCGCAGCAGCAGCGGCAGCAGCTGCAGCTGCTCCGAAGGCTGGTCATACAGAAGCTCAGCAGCAATTTGCTGCTGCTGCAGCTGCTGCAGCATCCTCCTGGAGACGCAGAAAGAAGCTGCTGCTGTTCGCCCGAGAGCAAATTCTGCTGCTGCTGCTGCATCTCGTGCTGCAGCAAAAGAGGCTTTGCAGGCCTCTGAGTATGCTGCTGCTATTGCTGCTGCTGCTGTTGCTGCTGCTGCACTATAGGCAGGCAAAGCTGCAGCAAAGCTGCCAACGAGGCCGCTGCACAGCAGCAGCCCTCCGTCTGGCTGCTGCTGCTGCAGATTCTGCTGCTGCTGCTGCTTTGGCTGCAGTTCGAGCTCCAAGACCTGCTGCTGCTGCTGCTGCTGCTGCTGCTGCGGCAGCAGCAAAGAGTAAGTGTAGTTGTGCCAGTCAATCACCAGTGGATAGCCAGCAGCTCTGCAGCAAACTGCTGCTATGAGCAGCGCAGGGAACCCCGGGGGGTTTTGCAGCAGCAGCAGCACCCGCTCCCGCTGCTGCTGCTGCTGCTGCTGCTGCTGCTGCTGCTGCTGCTGGTTCGTGACGCGTCGGATTGAAGCAAAGAGCTGCACCAACTGCACCACCAGCAGCAGCGACAGCTGCAGCAGCTTCAGCAGCAGGAAGCAGCAGCTGCCAAGCTTGTTGCTGCAGAGCAGCTGTCTGCTGCGCTCTACCGAGGGCTGCTGCAGCGGGTGCAGCAGCAGCTGCTGCTGCTCTGCTGCAGCAGCAAGAGCTTCGGGCAGAGGAGACTCGTTGAATGCCAAAACATGCACAATGGGGGGACCAAATACCTGCTGATCGCATTGCTGCTGCTCCTGCTGCTGCTGCTCCTGCTGCTGCTGCTCCTGCTGCTGCTGCTGCTGTTGCTGTTGCTGCTGTTGCTGCTGCTGTTGTTGCTCCGGCTGCTGCTGCATTTGCTCATGCTGCTGCTGCAGCGCAGAGATGGCGTGCTGACACATCCGAGGGCTTCGCCCAAAGTCGCCTACTACCAGCAGCACCAGATGAACAGGCTGCTGCTGCTGGTGCTGCAGCTGCTGCAGTTGCTGCTGCTGCTGCTGCTGCTGCTGCTGCTGCTGCTGCTCTGGCTGCTGGTGCTGCTGCGGCTGCTGCTCTTGCTGCTTCTCCTGGAGTCTCCGCCACGCTTGTATGGCACCCTCTATTCGCGAGTCCAAGGCTTTGTTGGGGAGCAGCAGAAGCAGCAGCAACAGCAGCAACAGAAGCAGCAGCAGCAAGACAGGCAGCAGCAGCAGCAGCAGCGGCAGAAGCGAGACCAGCAGCAGCGGAGCCCCGACGGGCAAACACAGAGCCAGCAGCAGCACAGCAGCAGCTTGCTGCAGTCGCGGGCCGTCGTAAGACATTCGCTGGATCTTCTGGGAATCGGCGCTGCTGCTGCTTGTGCTGCTGCTGCTGCTGCTGCTGCTGCAGCAGAGCCATGAGTGAAGGCGACACTGCAAATAGGATATTATGTTTTCTCCCGGAAACATTTCGGTGAAGCCTGAAGAGCGCTAGCTGCTGCTTGCTCCCGCTGCGGTCTTGCTGCTGCTGCTGCTGCTGCTGGCGTCGTCGTCAGCGGCATCAAGAAAGCGCCGCGCTGCAGCAGCAGCAGCAGCAGCAACAGCAGCGCTGTTTCTCAAGTACTAAACAAAAAAAGAGTTTTGCTGCTAAGGTTGTCGCCTTGTGCGCCGAGAGGACCGCAGCAGCAACTACTGCCTCTGGTGTTACAGCAGCAGCCACTGCTGTAGCAGCAGCAGCAGCAGCAGCAGCAGCAGCAGCAGCTCTCCGCAGCACTTGTCTGCATGCCGGCTCTGGAAATTGCTGCTTTCGAGTAGTTAATTGTTTATGTAATCCCTGAAATGCCCCGCCATCCCCTGAGGTGTCCTGCTGCTGCCGCGTGTCTTGCTGCTGCTCGTGCTGCAGTTGCAGCTGCAGCGCTTGCTGTTCGTGCTGCAGAGTTACCTCTACAATAGCAGCAGCAGCAGCAGCAGCAGCAACACTGCAAGAAGGAGTCTTGTACAGATCCCCTTCCTGTGCTATCCACTGCCTGCGCTGCAGCAGCTGCAGAAGCTGCAGCAGCAGAACTTGTCTGCAGGCAGACATGGAGCAGCAGCAGCAGCAGCAACAACAGCAGCAACAACGGCAGGATTCTGACTGTAACAGCAATGAAGGCGCATTGAACAATGAACAAGTCGCAACAGCAGCAGCCAAGGCTGCTGCTGTTGCTGCTGCTGCTGCTGCTGTTCACTCAGCATAAGTGGGTGTCGTGCTCGGTGCTGCAGCCACAAACAGCAGCAGCAGCAACAGCAGCAGCAGCAAGGCAGAAGCTGCCGGCAGGTTTTCCGCTGCAAATTCGCCTGACATTCCGTCCGTTGAAGACGAGAGAGCAGCAGCAGCAGCAGCAGCAGCAGCAGCAGCAGCAGGGGTGGAGGCCCGCAAAGAGCGCTGCAGCACTCAGAGCAGCAGATGCAGCAGCAGCAGCAAGAGCTGCTGACAGCCGTGTTAAGGCCTTCCTGGGTGCTGCTGCTGCTGCTGCTGCTGCCACGGCTGCACTGGCCGCTGCTGTGAGTGTTGCAGCAGAGCGCAAGAAGCAGCAGCAGCAGCAGCAGCTGCTGCTGCTGCCCCATTTGCTGCGTTCTCTCGCTGCTGGGGGCCCTCTGCTGCTGCTGCGCTCTCCCCACATCGAAGCAGCTCGAGTGTACAGACAGCCTCCGCTGTGTACGTCCTTACTGCAGCAGCTGCTGCTGCTGCTGCTCCTGTTGCGTTGCTGCTGCTGCTCTTGTTGCGTTGCTGCTGCTGCTCTTGTTGCGTTGCTGCTGCAGCTGCAATCAGTGTACAGCCCCAGCGTCCACTTACTTTCTTTTGCTGCTGCTGCTGCTGCTGCTGCTGCTGCTGTGCTGCAGCGGAGCTGCTCGCGCTTGTGTGTTTGCTGTCTGACTTGTTAGTCCAGCAGCAGCAGCAGCAGCAACAGAGGAAGCAGCAGCAGAGGCGGGGCAGCAGCAGCAGCAGCAGTGCTGTTGACTGGCAGTTTCCAGCTGATGACGGGGATAGTTTGTTCGCTGCTGCTGCTGCTTCTGCAGCGCAGACCTTTAGGCTGCAAGCAGAGCAGCTGCTGCTGCAGGCGTCCAGTTTGAACAGAGCAGCAGCGGGGGAAATCGTGTGGCAGCAAAGGAAGCAGCAGCAGCAGCAGCAGCAGCTGCTGCTGCTGCTGCAGCAGGAGCGACAGCTACAGCAGTCGCGTCTGCTGCAGGCTGCTGCAGGGGTGCTGCTGCCGCAGTTCCGGCTGCTGCTGCAGCAGCTGCAGCAGCAGGCTCTGAATCTTTTCGCCGAGAAGACGGAGCACCTTGTTCCTGGAGCAGCAGCAGCAGCAGCTGCTGCTGCTGCTGCTCAGCAGCAGGCGTTGCAGCTGCTGCAGGACAACGCACGTGCTGCTGCAGCAGCAGGGCAGCAGCAGCAGCAAATCATGAAGTGCCCGTGCTTCGAAGAGGCACTGTCAGCCGCAGCAGCGCAGCTGCAGCAGCTGCTGCAGCAAGAACTGCAGCAGCTCACAAGGGAGGGTTGTGTTCTTGCAGCAACAGCGGCTGCAGCAGCAGCAGAAGCAAGGCGGCAGCTGCTGCGGCCGTTGCTGCTGCTGCTGCTGCGCCTGCTGCTGCGCCTGCTGCCTCAGTTGCTGCAGCACCTGAGGCAGCAGCAGCCGCAGCAGCAGCAGCAGCACACTGTCCTCGGCGTGCTGCGGCAAGTACTGCTACAAGCTCTTACGCTGCTAAGCTCGTGAACGCTGCTGCTGCTGCTGCCGCTACTGCAGCAGCAGCAGCAGCAGCAGCAGCAGCAAATCACTGTCCGTTTCAAAGGCTCGAGCGGGATTAAAACCATACAGTCAACTAGCTAGCCACGGGGCTGCGGCTAGCGAACTAGAGCAGCTAGCTCGGTAGTCGTGGCTAGCTGGCCAGCTGGCTAGCTAGCTAGCTACAGCTAGCTAGCTAGCTAGCTAGCTAGCTACAGCTAGCTAGCCAGTAACTGTGGCTAGCCTGCAGCCGCTAGCTAGCGGGTAACCGTGGCTAGCTAGCTACCGCCAGCTAGCTGGCTAGCTAGCTAGCTAGCTAGTAGCCCTGGCTAGCTAGCTGCCGCTGGCTAGCTAGTGACTCTGGCTAGCTAGCCAGTAGCTGTGGCTAGCTAGCCAGACTTGGCTAGCTAGCCAGACTTGGCTAGCTAGCCAGCCGCACTTGCGGCGCAGAAGTGGGGGAGTGGCTCCAGGTGTCGCCACCTGCAGCAGCAGCAGCAGCAGCTGCTGCTGCTGCTGCTGCAGTGCCAATCAGCGCCAGGGCGCATCTGGATTTTGCTGCTCCGGCGCCCGGTGCTGCTGCTGCTGCATGTGCTGCTGCTTGCTGCGGTACTCCTGCGGGCCCCGCGGGTGCTGCAGCTGCAGGTGCTGCTGCAGCTGCATGTGCTGCTGCAGCTGCATGTGCTGCTGCTGCTGCAGCGGCACCCCCGGCGGCAGCAGCAGCCCCGGAAGAGGCGGGGGAACAAAGCCATGCAGCAAGAGGGGGGGAGGCTGCTGCAGCAGCATGGGGTGCAGCATTTGCTGCTGCAGCAGCTGCTGCTGCTGCTCCTGCAGCCGGGGGTGCAGCATCTGCTGCTGCTGGCTGCAGTAAGCTTGCGCCGCCGCGTCTGCTGCTGCTGCTGCAGTGCTGCAGCCAGTCGCCTCTGCCTGGGCAGGGGACTCTTCCATCCCCTCCTGAAGGGGGTCAGCAGCAGCAGCAGCAGCAGCAGCAGCAGCAGCAGCAGCAGGCCCAGCAGCAGCAGCATGTGCGTCTGCTAAGGGGTAAATGATGCGGCTGCCTGCAGCGCTGAAGGGAGGCACTGCAGCAAAATCTGCTTTGGGGGCAGGCACTGCCTCAGGCACTGCTGCTGCTGCTGCTGCTGCTGCTGCTGCTGCTGCTGCTGGGAGCCGCAGCACACGCTCCAGTTTCAGCAACGAAGACACAATGCCTGCAGCAGCAGCAGCAAAACAGCAGCAACAGCAAAACAGCAGCAACTCTTGTTAATTAAACTTACCAACCTACTGCGATTTGAACCTACATGGGTTTCATCTGTGCTGCAGTTGCAGCTGCAGCAGCAGCGGCAGCAGCAGCAGCAGCAGCAGCAGCAGCAGCAGCAGCAGCAGTTTTGGGCTTACGGGTTGGGGCAGTGAAAGGCATTGCGGGCTGTGGCTCCCAGCACAGCGCGCGGGCCCTCTGTGCACAACAGCAGTCAAGGGTTTAGGGTTTAGGGTTTAGGGTTTAGGGTTTGCGCTGGCGGCTGCGATTTAGGGTTTAGGGCTTAGGGCTTGCAATTAGTACTGCGGCCTAGCGCTGAGGGTTTAGGGTTTACACTTTACACTCTGGCTTAGGGTTTAGGGTTTAGGGTTTAGGGTTTGCGTACGGGGGTCTCGTTGGCCTCGTGGCGCTTGCGGCGAGCAGCAAAACTGTCAGTGCTACCTGCTGCTGCTGCTGTTGCTGCTGCTGCTGCTGCTGCTCGCAGGCCCTCTATGCCGCAGCGCGGGGCCCCCTGCAACAACACAAACCCTTGCGGCTCCGGGGTTTAGGGTTTAGGGTTTACAGGGGCTCCCCGCAGCCGGCCTCGCATGCCGCAAAAAGGGCTTAGGGTTTAGGGTTTAGGGTTTAGGGTTTAGGGTTTACTTTGATGCTGCTGGGAGGGTCTAGCGGGTCCAGCAGCACACCAACAACGAGCTCAGCGTCATCAACAAAGCGCACCCGCTTCGTCGCTGCACGCAAACCCTAAACCCTAAACCCTAAACCCTAAACCCTAGCCTAGGGTTTGAGCAGCTGCGCCGCAGGTCCTTCCGCCCGAGGCCGCAGGCTGGCTAAAGCCTTCAACTTCAGGGCTTAGGGTTTAGGGTTTAGGGTTTAGGGTTTAGGGTTTAGCCCCTCACTCTTGGTTGGCCGTAGGCCCTGCTGGTGGGTGTCGGATTCGTGTTCGACCGTAGCTGCTGCAGCGGGCGCAGCAGCCTGCAGCGGCTTCCCAGCAGCAGCAGCAGCAGCAGCAGCAGCAGCAGCAGCAGCTGCTGCTGCTGCTGCTGCTGCTGGGGCCTCAGCAGGCTCTGCGTCTGCTGTTGGGGAATAGTCCCCAGCCAGCTGCGCCACTTGCTGCTCCCGTGTCATCTCTATGGCTTTGCCCAGCTGCAGCAGCGAGTCTAGGCTGCTGTGCAGTGCTTGGGCCTCTTCGCTGCTGCAGCAGTTGCTGCTGCTGCTGCTGCTGCTGCTGCTGCTGCTGCTGCTGCTGCTGGCCGCCGCTGCGGGCTCTGAGCCGGAGCGGGACGTCCCCCCAGCAGCAGCGGCAGCAGCTGCTGCTGTGTCCGGCTTTGCTGCTGCTGCGCCACGCGCTGCAGCGCCTTCGACGCGGCTCTCGTCTTGCTGCTGCTGCTGCTGCTGCTGCTGCCGCTGCCGCCGCTGCTCAGCCTCAGAACTAGCTGACAGCAAGCCATCCAACAAGGAGTCTGCTGCTGCTGTTGCTGTTGCTGCTGCTGCTGCTGGCTTCGTCTGAGCTGTTGACCCTGAAGCAGCAGCAGCAGCTCCCTCTGTGCTCTGCTGTTGCAGTGCCTGCAGCAAGTTAGCAGCAACAGCAGCAGCAGCAGCAGCAGCAGCAGCAGCAGCAGCAATGAGCAAGCGCCGCCGCAACCAGCGCTGGACAGCCGCGATCGAAGAAGCCCAAGAGCCGCCGCTAAACCCTAAACCCTCAGCCCTCCAGCCTTAGCCTCAAACCCTAAACCCCAAACCCTAAACCCTAAACCCTAAACCCTAAACCCTAAACCCTCACCTTGTCCTTGTGCCACAACTTCAAAACCTGCGCTGCTAAGTTTCTTATAAAGGCTGAAGCGCCGCCGAACCACACGGGGGCTTTTTCTCGCCCAGCAGCAACAGCAGCAACAAGCGACACCAGCTGCACACAATGCCCCAAACCCTAAACCCTAAACCCTAAACCCTAAACCCTCGAGCACTAATGTCCGGCGCGGCAGGGCTGCTGCAGCACTGCAGATGCTGCAGCCGTTCCAGCTGCTGCTGCTCCTGCTGCGGCAGCAGGAACTGCAGCAGCACCGGCCGCTGCTGCTGCTACAACAGCAGCAGCAGCAGCAGCAGCAGCAGCAGCAGCAGCAGCAGCAGCAGCAGGAGCAGCAGCAGCAGGGTCCAAGTACCTGGGAAGCCCCAGTCTCGTCCGTGGGGGCAGAGAAGGTCTTGAGCAGCAGCAGCAGCTGCCGCAGTCTTGTGCTGCGCTGCGCTGCTGCTGCGCTGCTGCCGCTGCTCTCAGCAGCAGCAGCAGCAGCAGCAGCAGAAAGACTGCGAGATGCTCCCAAAGCTGCCAGCCATTTTGCAAGAACTCCAAAGCCGCCGCTGCTGACAAAAGCTTTTGCTGCAGCAGGTGTTGCCCGCTGCAGCAAGCCTGATCACAAACCCTAAACCCTAAACCCTTAACCCTCAACACTAAACCCTAAACCCTTAACCCTAGACCCTAAACCCTTGACCCTAAACCCTAAACCCTCAAACCTTGCACGGCAAGCCCCACTTCCGCAGCAGCTGCTGCCCATCACTCAAATCACAAACTCTTAAAGGAAGCGTTTAGGGTTTAGGGTTTAGGGTTTAAGGTTTAGGGTTTAGGGTTTACGGACTGATGCAGTGCAGCTGAAACGCCTCAGGGGCTTGCAGCAGCAGCGACGCCAGCTCCTTCGCTTGAGCCTGCAGCAAAACCCTAAACCCTAAACCCTAAACCCTAAACCCCAGACCTCTAACTCCGCAACCAGGGAACCTCATGAACGCACGCCAGAGACCTAGGGTTTAGGGTTTAGGGTTTGAGGTTTAGGGTTTAGGGTTTACTTCTGTTTCCAGGCTGAGGGTTTCCAGGGACGTTGTCGGTTCCGAGTTGAAGACTGCTGCCAGCATTTGCTGGAACCTCCCAGCTGCACAAACACTAAACCCTAAACCCTAAACCCTAAACCCTAAACCCTAAACCCTAAACCCTAAACCCTTATCCTGAGACCTTGCGAACTTCGGGGGCTGAGGTTTAAACTCTTACGGGGTGTTTTGAGGGGCGGTCTGCTGCTTCTATTGGCAAGCCCGGGCAAGGAAGGCCCAGGCTGCGCTTTGCTGCTGCTGCTGCTGATGCTGCTGCTGCTGCTGCTGCTGCTGCTGGCAGCTGCTGCTCCTGGGAGAGACGGCGGCCTCTGCTGCTGCAGCGCCGGCCGCTGCTGCTGCTGCTGCTGCTGCTGCAGCGGCAGCGGCCCCCGCGGCGCCCATGGCTTCGGCCTCTTGTCCCCCCCAAAGAATCCCCCAGCAGCAGCAGCAGCAGCAGCAGCAGCAGCAGCAGCAGGAGGTTTGCTGCTGCTGCTCACAACGCTGTTGGAGGGTCGCAGCAGCCGCTGCTGCTGGAGCGGCCGAGACGGGGGTTTTCCCAGAGGCCTGCTGCTGCTACTGCTGCCTGCCCTCCCGCTGCTGCTGCTGCTGCTGCTGCTTCTGCTGCTGCTGCTGCTGCTGCTACTGCTGCTGCTGCTGCTGCCACTGCCATCGTCTCCACTCGTGTAATGCGGGGCTGCTATGACCTTCCCGAAGCTATGGTCGTTGCTCTGCTGCCATCTCCTGCTGCTGTTGCTGCTGCTGCTGCTCGTGCTGCTGCTGCTGCTGCTGCTGCTGCTGCTATTGCTGCTGCTGCTCAGGACGTCGGGCTCCCCAGGGACCGGCGTAAAGGAGTAGCAGCAGCAGCAAACCATTCCCGGTGGTCTATCATCATCATTGCTGCTGCTGCTGCTGCTGCTGCTGCTGCTGCTGCGCTGCAGCGTGCAGCGCATGCAGCAGCGCTTGCAGCAGCGGTGGCCGCTAAGGTGCAGCAGCTTGTGTCGAGTGGGCAAGGGCTGCTGCTGCAGCTTGGCAGCATCTGCTGCTGCTGCTGCTGCTGCTGCTGCCGTTTCTGCTGCTGCTGCTGCGTCGTCAGCTTCTATTGTCTTGAGAGCAGCAGCAACAGTCTCTTCGGTGAAGACCGGCAGCAGCAGCTCTTCTGCTGCTGTTGCTGTCACGCGCTGCAGCAGCACCTGGTTCCGCTGCCGGCGAACTGCAGCACCTCAAAACCCTAAACCCTAAACCCTAAACCCTAAACCCTAAACCCTAAACGCTACGCGGCAGGCGTTCTCGTGGTTTAGGTCCTCTTGCTTTCGCAGCAAAAACTGCAGAGAGGCGCTGCGGATCTGACAATTAGGGTTTAGGGTTTAGGGTTTAGGGTTTAGGGTTTAGGGTTTAGGGTTTGCTGGGACTTACAGAACTTGTGACACTTCAGAAGTTTGCTGTATGGGATGTGGGGCGGTGGCGGCCGCAGCAGCAGCGAGTTGGGGGTCCCCTGCAGCACAAACCCTAAACCCTAAACCCTAAACCCTAAACCCTAAACCCTAAACGCTAAACCGTAGACCCTAGACCCTAAACCGTAAACGCTAAACCCTAAACGCTAAACCCTAAACCCTAAGCCCTGAACCCGAAGCGCCTCTCAGGTACAGCGTTGAGGCCAGCAGGCCTGCCTCTAGGGTTTAGGGTTTAGGGTTTAGGGTTTAGGGTTTAGGGTTTGCGCACCTGGTTTGTAATGGGGCAAATACCCGTCAGCTCGATTTGCTTCTTCCTCAAAGTTGCTGCTTGCTGCAGCTGATCTTCAAACATGCTGCGGAGCTGCTGCAGCACCTGCTGCACCAGCGGCAGCAGCTGCTGCTGCTCCTTCTGCTGCAGCAGCGCCATCTCTTGCTGCAGCAGCACAGCAAAACCCTAATCAGAAACCCTAAACCCTAAACCCTAAACCCCCACGCGCGCTTGCGGGTACATTTGGCCTAGGGTTTAGACGCACCTCATCCTCCGAGGCCGTCTCGCTGCCGCTGCTGCTGCTGCTGCTGCTGCTGCTGCTATCATCGTCGCTGCTGCTGCGGCTGCCGCTGCTGCTGCTGCTCTCAGACCCAGCATCAGGCGCTGTGGATGAGCTCTTCTGTCGCTTCACTTTGCTGCTGCTGCTGCTGCTGCTGCTGCTGCTGCTGCGGTCCGCCGGCTTCCGTTTGGTGGGCGCAGAGTCAGCTTTGTGGCTGCTGCTGCTGCTGCTGCTCTTGGTGTTGCTGCTGCTGCTGGTGCTAATGCTGCTGGGGGGTGTCTTTGCTGCCTCG